AGTGCTAGCGATGGAACCCAGGGCCTCAAACATTTGCCCTCTGAGCTGTGTCCCTGGCCCCAGCCCTGGGAGGGGTTCTGCGGCAGAGGCTGATCTCCCCACCCTAGGGAAGGGCTTGAAATCTGACTCTCAGGCTCGAAGAGGGCGCGTCACCATCACCAAGACAGAGGAAGTCCCGGGGTGCTGCTGCCGGCTGAGAAAACCAGGGGTGAGGGCCACGGCCCCCACAACCCGAAGCACCTCTGTTCTCGGAAGCTCATCTCAAATCTGGCTTCTTAAACTGTGGATCTGGCCCCCGCGGGGTGGGGGACATTTGGCAACAGGAAACGGTTTCCAAACACAGACCAGAAATCCGTTCAAATTCCAACAAGTTCGCATCCAGGGTTCTTGGCTTTGCCCCTCAGGGAGGGAGAGGTGTGAAGTCGGGCCCCCATCCACCTGATGCGGAGTGGGGTCTAGGTAGCACTCCCCACACTGCCACAGCCCGGGGAAGCTCCCGGAACAGTGCTCTCAGGTCAGCCGCTCCACTCGCTCCCCGGCACCTCCCACCCTGTGCTTCCCACAGCCTCCGCTCCTGTTTACGGTGCCCCCCACCCACAGACACTGCCCCCAGCCTCAAACCTGGCCTGCAGGAGGGTACGCCACCACCCCCCCAGCCAGGGCACTGGCTGCTCCTCCCCGGTGGTGGCTCACCCACACATTCCTGCCGCACCCAGCGCCGGCTCCTCCCCGTTCTCCCCAGAGGCTGTGACCGCTGGACCCCAGCCCCCTGAGGAACCCGACCAGAGCAGCTCAGGTTTGGTGGCTGTCCCCAAGGTGACGTGAGTGTCAGAACAGCAGGTCTGGGGAGGGGCGGGGATTCCTAGGGTCTCCTTCCTGGGACCCCAGCCCAGTGCAGACTCTGTACCTGTGAAGTGGGAGGCCAGCACTGGACTCTCCTGCCAGAGACTCTGGGTGGAGACGTGGGGGAGGCTGGCCTGGGAGTGGCCCCTTGGCCCACCAGTCTGTCACTTGCCCTGTTTTCCCCCAGAGGGAGCCTAGGGGTCCGCGTGGCCAGTGCCCTGACCCAGGTGTGGCCCGGACTGGTCTCACATCAGGCCAATGACCTGCCCCAGAGCCCCAGCCAGCTGCCGCTTCCTCACTGGCCCCAGTGGACAGGGAGTCCAGTGCTGAGGCCAGGGTGGGGTCGCTGGGGGTGCTGAGGAAGTGGCTACACAGTGAGTGGGGGTTGGCGCTCAGCAGCCAGAGTCACGCAATGCCCATCCCAGCCTGCCCGCTGGTGGCAGCAGCATACAGGGGCCACCATGAGTCTGGGCCTTCCCCGCCCCACCCCCCCGACCCAAGTCTGCGGCGGCTCCTGGTGGGGGTCAGGCCCCAGGGAGGCTTGGGGTGCCTGTGGGATACAGTTCTCACCCAGCGTCTCCCCCACCTGCTCCCACATTTTCTGGCCCGGTGTCTGGTCCCCACCCCTGGCCCAGGCAGGTTTCTCCCAGGACACTCCCCAGACTGGCTCGGTGTCAAGCGTGCCATGCAGGAGTGCAGGCCCGAGGGGGAGTGCCCAGAGGGGTATGGCTCCGGGCAGGACTGAGGAGGACTTGCCGCTGGGCGCTGGGAGGGAGGTGTTTGCTCCTGCAGGTCGCACCCTGCCCAGAGCACAGTTTCCCATACCTCTCCCCACTCCTCTACTCCTTACCCCTCCAACCCTCCTCTCCTTACCTCTACAACCCCTCCACTCCTCACCCCTACAACCCCTCCACTCCTCATCCCTTCCCCCCCGGCCCACAAACTCTGAACTTGCTGCTGAAGGAGGTATCCACTGGCAGGTTAGAAGGGTCTATGGTCTCTGATTCTGCGGACCTCAGAGTCCTGCAACCTTGTTCACCTGGCAAGACTGAGGGTTGGACAAATTCTGACATTGATGGGTAGAGGCAGGGTTGGTAGAGGGGAAGGAGATAGATGCTCCAGCTGGGACACTGGACCCCAGCCCTAAGCTGCTCTGTCGCTGGAAAGACAGCAAGCCCAGAAGACCTGCCTCTTGGCATGAGCCTCCTGCCTTGCCCTCTGGGGAGCTGCCGGGGTGGGGTGGGAGCCTGGCACCAACCTGTGCCTACAGGTCTGGCTCACAGCTGGAGCCTCTGGACAGAAACCTGGCCCCCTGCAGGGTGGGCAAGCCCTGGGTGCTCCAAGAGTAGGGCCATGGTGGCACAGAAGGTGCCATGTGTGGCCTCAGGGTTCTGCCTCCCACAGACCATGGCCCTAAGGCGAGCTCACCCTGCACTGGGGTCCCGTGGACCCCGTTCTCGTGGCAGCCTCCTGCTCCTGCATGTCAGCCTCGGTGAGTGAGGGAGGCTCCAGTGTCTGGCGCTGTGGATCCAGAGGGGGCTGGTTGGCACCTGGGGGTCACCTGTGCCCTGTGGGGTGGTAGGGGCTCAGGCCTGAGGAAGGGCTGGGGAGCAGATATCCACACCCTGAGCAATTGGGTAGCAGAAGGCTGTGGAAACGGCCCCTGAGCCTAAGTAGGGGTGCGGGTGCACTCCGGCCCCGGAGCTCCGACACCCCTTCCAGCCCTGCTCTCCCACAAGGACTCCTGCTGCTGCACGGGGCACAGACAGAAGACTGGAGAATGGTAAGAGTGCTCCCGGTGGGGTGAAGGGGCTCCCTGAAGCCAGACGCTCAGCTCAAACTGTGCATGCTTTCAGGGCGCCATGGTCCAGAGGCAGCCTCGCGTCCTCAGGGGCTCTGAACGGAGCTGTGTCCAGAGCCAGTCAGGTGCCAGCCCAGACCTCAGTGGTGGCTTGGCGGGGGGGGGGGGGGGCTCACCTAGCCACACCGTAGCCCTTCCTGGGTCTCTTGCTCTGCGGGGTGACAACTGAATCACCCTGGGATCAGTGGACAGAGGAGGGCACATGGGAAGAGCAGGCTGACCCTCACCTGCCCCAGCAGAGAAAGCCTGTCCACCGGGGCGGAAGCCCCAGAGCGTGGACGAAAGCCTGGTTCTGTACCAAGACTGGGAGCTGGATGCCTGTGTGAATGCGGCGCTGCTGGAGGCCAACATGAGCAGGGTGGACGAGGTGCCCTTCACCTACCAGCAGCTGAGGATTTTCAAGTGCAAACTGGACCAGGTGAGTGTGGCCTAGGACTGGCCTCACCATCAGTGGGGCAGTCTCAGCCGCCCAGGGAGAGCTGGGCCCTCACAGCCTCCTCCCCACCCAGCGCTACCCACTGGGCTACCCTGAGTCCCTCATCCACCGCCTGGGGTACTTCTTCCTGGAGATGACTCCTGAGGACATTCACAAGTGGAATGTGACATCGCTGGAGACAGTGAAATCTCTACTTAAAATCAGCAAAGGGAGGAAAATGCATACTCAGGTGAGCGCCTGGGGGCTGGGGTGGGAAAGGCAGGCTGGGGGGAGGTGGTGCCAGCTGGGGGCTGGTCTTTCCTGGTCCCCTGGTACTGAGTGACCAGCTCCTGCAGGTAACAGCCCTGATCAAACGCTATGTGGCGGGAAGGGGCCAGCTGGACCTGGACACAGTGGACACGCTGAGGGCCTTCGTCCCCACCTATGTGTGCTCACTCAGTCCTGAGCTGTTGGGCCATGTGCAGGAGAGCGTGATTCGGTGAGTTCCGGGTCCTGGGCATGGTTGGACACCCGCCCTGGGCTCATGGCCACCCCTCTGTATCCCCAGGGAAATCAGGGCCCAGCACCTGGAGGGGTGCAGCCCCCAGCAGCTGGACATCCTCTACCACAAGGCCCGCATAGCTTTCCAGCACTTGCAAGGGACTGACTACCTTGCCAAGGTCCAGCCCTTCCTTGGTGAGCGCCAGCATCAGCCCTGCTGCGGGCACCGGCCCTCACGGCCACTCCCTGCATTGTGCCGGGCTGGGGCTGACCCTGAGAACTCTGAGCCCTTCCTCAGCCAGAGGGTCAGGGAGTCACCATGCAAGCTTGGGTGGGGACTCTGTGCAGCCGCGGACTTGGGGGGCCTGTAGCCACAGGGGAAAGCCGACTCCCGCTCAGAGCTGTCCCTGTGGCAGGTGGGGCCTCCACGGAGGACCTGCGGGATCTCATCAGGCGGAACATAACCATTGACATGGCCACAATGAAGCAGCTCCAGCCTGCAGCCGTCAAGGTAGGGCCACGGTGGGGGGCGTGACCGAGCGCTTGGTGGGCGGGGATAACGACACAGGGGCGTGCCCAAAGACCGGTGGGTGGGGCTTCCACATATCTGGTGGGCGGGGCTAAGGTTCCGTGGGTGTGGCCTGAAGCTCAGGGCGGGACTAAAAGCTCTGGGCAGGATATGGGAAGGACAAGGGACATTGGGAAAGAGGGACCTGAGGACAGGATCTTTGGAGAGAAGGCTCCATAGTGTGGAGTGCAAGTCCTCTCAGTGGGCAGGAGCCTCTGCTGACCCCCTGCGGGGCTCGGGCAGCCCCTGACTGTCCCTGAGGTTCAGAGACTTCTGGGCCCAAACCTGCCGGGGCTGAAGGCTGAGATGTGGAGTACTCCTGTGCGGGAGTGGATCGTGTCCACGCCACAGAGTGAGTTGGACCAGCTCGGACTGGGACTCCAGGGGGGCATCCCCAATGGCTACCTGGACCTCTACCTCCCAGACGGCCAGGATGTGAGGGGCAGCGTCTGACCTGCACCCGAGGCCCAGGGCGGCTCCCATCTGCTCCCAGCTCTCTCTGCTCCTGACCTGAGTCCACCACTCAGACTTCCGCCAGACGTGGGGTGTCGCCCTGCTGTGGAGGTCCCAGGAGAACCAATAAAGTGGGTGTGGTCACTGCAGCCTGCTTTGGTGTTGTGGGGATGCCGAAGCTGTGCCCATCCTGGACAGAGCAAAGAAACATAGGCAGGACAGTCATCTGTCCTTGTCTTTTATTCAAATCAGGTAGTGGTGTCAGTGCCGCAGGAGCCCTTCATGGTCCTGGTGGAGGGCAGGGGTGGGGGGATGCCCAGCTCCGAGTCTCAGGGCCCAGGAGGGGCATGCCTGTAGCCCTAGGCTGGGAGGGCCAGCCAGTTCTCCTGGGCTTGGGGCTTGCACCCAGGCCTGGGCAGGCTGCCGGATCCCTCTCCCAGCCCCTGCTGCAGTGCAAGGCCGGGGCCATCTTGGGAAGCTGCAGTGTGTGCTCCGGGTGAGCCGTCCTGGCCAGGGCTGAGGCCACTCCAGTACAGCAACCACAGGAGGCCAGAGGGCAGGGCCACAGCAAGGGGCAGGCACCCCAGGGGGCTCTCAGGGCTGCCTGTGGATGGAACATAAGGCGTATCAGCCCCCACCGGGAGCCCCCAATGGTCCCCTCCAGCCTGGAAAACCCCTCCCTGTGGGTGGGAATGCCAGTGAGGAGGTATGGTTCTCCAGAGCCGCCTTCTGCTGTTGGGCTGAGGAGCAGGCTATAAGGCAGCAAGGGTGAGGCCCGCCCAGAATACTCAGATGTCACTGAGGGCAGAGAATGAACAGAGGGCCCAAGGCGAGAGAAGGGGAGCACAGCAGCGCCCCCTACGGCAGCCTAGCTGAGGGGTGGTGGTAGAGGGGTGCTGTACCAGAGCTGGGGACCTCGGCCACGTCCCCGGTTAGGTCTGCAGAGGGGGCAAGCTGGAGGGCCAGTGGGGTGGTGCTGGGGGGGCGAAGGGTGGAGTGGCCAGGCTTGAGGCGACTGGCCAGGCCCGATTCAAGCCCCAGTTCTCCCAGGGCTGAGATGTTGAGGCTGCGCAGCCATGAGCTGATGGTTGGGTGACTGCGTGCCTTCCGCAGGTCCCCCACGTTCTGGCCCAGCAGTGTGGTCACATTGTCCAGGCTCAGGCTCTGCGGGAGGGAGAGGGATGTTCGCCCATGGACATGTCCATCCATGAATTGTCCACCATGGGCCATGTCTGCCCATGGACCGAGTCTGCCCATGGACCGTGTCTGCCCGTGGACCGTGTCTGCCTATGGGATGTGTCTGCCCGTGGGCCGTGTCTGCCCATGGACTGTGTCTGCCTGGGGGCCGTGTCTGCCCATGGACCATGTTGGCCCAGGGACCATGTCTGCCTGTGGGACTGTGTCTGGTGAGGGAGCCTTTGGGAACAGCCTCACCAGGCAGTGGGCACCAGGGAGGGCCTTAGAGATGGCCTGGAGCCCCCACATATGTACCCCTGCCCTGGAGGGCTGGAATCTGGAACTCCCAGCAGCCTTCGCCCACCTGTAGCACATGGGGGTTCAGGTTGGTGAAGGTGTCGATGTCCATGGAGACGTTGGCCTGTGCCAGATGCTGCAGCTCCTCCACCGGGGCACCACCTACAGGCAGCACAGGTGGGGCAGGGCACCCCGGGAAGTAGAGGCATGAAGGAGAGCACCCCAGGTTGGCACAGGTGAGAGGGGTGGGCACCCTGTGTTGGCACAGGTGGTGGGGCAGGGCACCCTAGGCAGTGCAGGGAGGGGCCGTGGCCTCACCGAGGTAGGGGCGCATGAAGCGGTAGTAGGCGTCAGTGGTCTGGGTGCTGCGGAAGGCCTCCTGGGCCTTGGCGAACAGCACGTTCTTGCGGCTCTGAGGGCAGGAGGAGATGTCCAGGGCCCCGGCCAGCCTGGGGAAGGAAGAGGAGGCTGTGGCAGGCTGGGGCGACCCCAGACCACAGCCTTTGCAGGTGTGGCCAAGCAGGGGTGAGTGGGGTAAGCCATAGAGAGCAGGGGCGCCCTGAGGTGGAGGGTCAGTTCTTACAGGAAGAGGCCGTGATTTAGGACAGAGGCAGAGGTTGGAGCAGTGACCGGAAATGCTGGGTTCAGAGAGGGCTTGGCCCAGGACACCCAGGACACCTGGCACACCTGGCAGGGCTGTCACCTGCGTGAGGCAGTGTGTGTGTTTGGGGGGGAGTGTCTCTGGCTGTGAGGGAAAAATCTGCCTGTGGTTGGGACACTCGGTTTGTGGTGCTTGGTCATGCCTGCAACGGTCTGGCTCAAGGGCACCCACCCTGTTTCCCCCGGAGGCTCACCGGAACTCCGAGGGCTGGATGGCCTGGATCTGCCGGGGGCTCATCCAGCAGAGGCGGGAGCCCCCAATGGCCACGAGCAGGGCTCCGGTGAGGGTGCCGTTGTGGTCCAGGAACTTTTGCAGGAGGGCCTGGGAGGGGTGGGGCCAGCAGGTGGATGGGTGGGGCCAGACGGACGCGGGGCGGGGTCAGCAGGTGGGTGGGAGGGGCCGGGGCGGTCGGAGCGGTGGCCCTCACCTCGGTCTGGTTGTCCAGTGCCACGTCGGAGGCCAGGAGGGCCACGAGTGTGTCCATGGACGTAATGTTCCACTGACCGATCTCAGCACAGGAGTACAGGTAGACTAGCGAGGCCACACGCGGCAGCTGCTCCTCGGGGAGGCCGCGTGGATATACCTGCGGGGGCGGGGGCGGCACCATGAGTCCAGGGACCCCCACCTGAGTCCGGCCCCGCCGCCCCCCGCCCCACCCCGGCCGCCCCCCCCACCTGCCCCAGCTTGTTCTTGACCACGCGCTGGCACTCAGCGGGCAGCGGGTGCTGCAGCAGAGGGTCCAGGTTGGCCCTGAGCACCCGCGGCCCCAGGCAGGATTCCAGCTGTCCACAGTCGTAGCGCACCAGGAAGAGGTCGTCCCGCAGGGTCGCTGCAGTGATGTCACCGCGCACGCAGCGTCTCCCTGTGCAGGGACAGACCATCTCCCTGAGCTGGGTGCTGGGTGCAGATGTCACCGAACCCAGCGCTCAGCACCCAGAACTCAGCACCAAGAATCCATCACTCAACCTCAGCCAAGGAACCTCAAGTCCATAGGGCCTCCGCTGGGAACTACCCACACCCCTGTTCTACACTGCCCCTCCCTGTGTCCTGCTCTGACCCTCTGTCCTGCCCTGCCCCCACGTCTCTGTCCCCTGCCCCTGTGTCTCTGTCCCTCTGTTCCATCCGGCCCCTGTGCTATCTCCTCCCTCTGCACCGGTGGACACGCCATGGCCACACTGACCTGTGCCCCGCTTGGGTCGAGAGGACCTGGCCTTGGCCTCGAGGAAGTCGTTGACGAAGCGCTGGGCATCTGACTGGCTGAGTTGTCCCTCCCGGTAGGCGGCCACCATGCTGCCAAAGAAGTCCAGGCCCACGGCCTGGGGGGACACTGGGTATTCCATCAAGGTCTGCGGGCTCAGCGTACCCCCTCCCGTCCAAGACACAGACCCTGGGGCAGGTGAGGGCCGAGGACTGGGGTCAGCCTTACCTCCCGCACTTGCACCCACAGGCTGGGGCTGATGTAGGTGGCCAGGGGACCAAGAGCCTGTAGCCCCTCAAGGCTCCAAGATTCTGGGGGCCTGGGGTGAAGGTTGAGCGGGTTGGTATCTGAGGGGCCCTCCGGCCTGCCCTGTGGCTGCCCCCAGCCCTCAGCCCCCTCCTCCCAGGCTGTGCCCCTGGATGCAGTCCACCCACCCCAGGGCCGTCCTCCCACTGGCCAGCAGCTGGTTGAAGGCGGCCTGCTGGGCCGACGTGAGCCGGTGGCAGCGACGCAGGTTCTGCAGCACGTGGGGGTCTGCAGTCCTGATGCTGGTCGCATCCATGTCACACACCAGGGCCCCCAGGAGCTGCAGGTCAGAGGCGCTGAGCTCTGGGTGGGACCCTCCCTGTAGGCAGCAGGCCGAGGTCAGAGGTCAGCACAGCCCAGACCTGCCCACTGCCCATTGCTCCATCACCACCCAAGCCTACCAGGCAGGCCAGAGCCTCACGCTGCAGAGCCGCCCGCTGGTCCGGCAGGTTGGCCAGCAGCTCCGGGTCCCCCTGGGCAGCGCGGCCAGTGAAGTTCCGGCACTGATCTTCTCCCACCTGCGAGAGGCTACGGGACATGGCCAGGAGGTGCTGGAGGGGGTCCTGGGATTCCAGGGGGCTCAGCCCTGGGCTAGGCTCCAGGGGGCCTCCAGAATCCAGGGAGGTCCCCAGACTCAGGGGGCACTCCACCATGGGCCTGGCTATGGGAGCCCCCAGACTCGGGGTAACCCCTGGCCCCTGACTCAAGGTGACCTCTGGCCCCTGATTGGGGGTGACTTCAAGATGCCCTCAGCCCCTGACTCGGGGTCCCCCTGCCCTTGACTCAGGGTCACCCCACCCTCTGACTTGGGGTGACTCCCAAGTCCTGACTCGGGGTGCCCCCTGGGCCCCGGTGACTCACTTGTAGAAGAGCAGCAGGTTTGGGGGGTGCATCTGGAAGTCTCCCTGGAGGCCATGCAGTGCAGCCAGGTTCGCCAGGCAGCTGAGCTGGACAGGCAGGCGGTATTACTGCCTGCCCAGCGCGTGTGGATCTGGCATGCACCCCTGACCCCAGAGTTCAGCTCTGACCCTCATCGTCCTCCTCCTGCCTCAGTCCCCACAAAGAAGCCACCTCCAAATGGTTCAACCCGAAGCCTCGGCCGGGGTGGGGGGGATGGGAGATGAAGGTCCCCTGAGGCGGCAGAGACAGAGCTGTTTGCCCTGGCCCCAAAGGTGCAGGGACTGAGGTGGGTAAACAGTGCAGACCCTGGGGAGCCCCCAGCGTTCCACTGCCCCTGCCCGAGCCGTCCCCATCACAGCAGCTCAGGGACCAGCTTCCTACCAGCTGCCCGCAGATGCCGCCCACTCCATCCCAGGGATAGTAACTAGTTTCCCCGCGTGCCCTCCTGCCTCACTGTGGAACTGTGCCCCTCGGACGGAGGACACCGGCCCTGTGGGTTCCTGCCGCACCAGCCTCCTGGCAGCTGGGGTCTCCACCGAGGTGGTGGTAGTAGGTTTCCCAGCTCACAAAGTAAAGGAGGACATGGGATGAAGTTAGAAAACTCAGGGAGCGGGCCAGGGAGACTTGGCCAGCTCCAAGTACTGGGACGGGCACCTGCTTTGTCTGTGGTCCCAGGTTCTAGTCTGGTACCATTCAGGCCCCAGTGCCTGCAGAGTGACCCTCAGCACTGAGGGCAGCCCTGGAGCCCTACCCAGGGTGGACCCCAAACCAACACATCACTCCGTGGATATGTCAGGCAACCCACACAGACTACAGGACAGCAGCCCCGAATCGATGAGGCCTCCGAGGGACAGAGGGAGGGGAGGGAGTGTAGGGCAGACCAGTGGCAGGAACCAGGCACCCATGACAGTGGGAATCAGGGACCCAGGTGATAGCCAAGCTCGTGAGGGAGGGTCCCCGGCTGAGCGCAGAAACCCAGCAGGGTTTGATCACTGTATGACTGAGACTTAAACCTGAAAGCTTTGTAACTTTTCCCACAGTGATTCAATAAATAAATATAAGAAGAAAAATAAATAAATAAATAAAATTATGGAAAAAAAAAAGTAAGGTGGAGTTCACGCCCAATTCAATCAGCTAATCAGTGGCTGAATAAATAGCAGTACTCCTACATGGAAAAAAAAAAGAAAGAAAAGAAACCCAGCAGGAACTGCTCTAAGGAGAGTGGCGGGTGGTGGGGCCTGGGCCGAGCCATGTAGGGGACCCAGAGGAGAGAGCGGCCATGAATCAGACACTGCCTGTGTTCTGCGGCCGGGCCTGGCCTCTAGCTACTCTCCGGTGACCCTCCCAGGCTTCGCTCTGATAACTTCCCTCCTGGGTGTCCACACCACGTTTCTCCTGCTGCTCCCAGGCGTCTTGTGGCCTGTTATTCCTGGGGAAGGGGGCAGGGTCTGTGCCTCCTTCCTGACATGCAGTCGCTGCCTCCGTGGAAACTCAGTTTTCATTGTCCTTGTTTAAGAACAAGAACTGTCTTCCTGAAGATTTCCTCCACCCACATGGCTCATTCTTGTTTCAGTGTGTGTCCCATGTGCAGGAACACCTGGACCTTCTGTGTGCAGACCCTGTGCTCTCCTTTGCTAGCACTCAGCCTCTTCCACATGTAGTTTGAGTTCCCACGTGTGTAGCATGTTTGAGTCTTTTTCCAGTGCTGAGGCTTTGATCTGCTGTGCTCACAGTGTGTGTGTATGTGTGTGTGTGTGTGTGTGTGTATGGGTGCATGTGTATGTGGGTGTGTGTGTATGTGGGATGTGAGTGTGTGTGTGTGGGTGTGAGGGGTGGTATATGTGGGAAAGTGTGTGGGTGGGTGTGTTTATGTGTGCATGTGTGTGTATATGAGTGCATGTGTATGTGGATGCATATGTATGTGTATATATGTGTATGTGGATGCATGTGTATGTGGGTATGTGTGTATGTGGCTTAGTGTGTATGTGGCTTAGTGTGTATGTGCATGTGGGTGCATGTGTATGTGGGTTAGTGTGTATGTGTGTACATGTGTATGTGGGTGTGTGTGTATGTGGGTGTGTGTGTATGTGGGTGCATGTGTATGTGGGTTAGTGTGTATGTTTGTGTGTGGGTGCATGTATGTGTGTGTGTGGGGGTGCGGGGTCCTGTGCCTCGGACAGTCAGCTGTGTCTGAGGAGCCGGCAGCTGCTCTGTGGTGGATGCCCATGTTGCGTGGATCCTTCTGTTCTGCTGTGTCAAATGACACTCCCAGATGCCCAGTGGGCCTCCCTGGTGGCTGGCCATCCTTTCCAAGGTTTCTCAAACAAAGGGCGATGTCCTTGTTTCCACTCTGTGGCTCTCTTCTTGGAGGATGGCCCTCCCCATGGTCAGACTCCACCTTTTTTGTCCCCCTCCGCCATTTGGGCCTCTGGGATCTCCTTGGGGGCTTGTGGCTTGTGTCCTCCCTCTTTTCCTGCTGTCTGCTTTGTGATGGCTGTGGGGCCAACTTAGAGGTGCTTAGAGGGATCAAACTTGCGGCCTCACACAGGGACAAGAGCAAACAAGGCTGGGCAGGAGTTCAGAGGTGCCAGGACCACATGTAGGAAACCCCAAGAATTGACCAAAATCCTGGAACTAAGGAGTTATTATAGAAGGCCAGTATGGGGCTGGAGTGAAGTATAGCGGGGGGGGGGGGGGGGGAAGGCTCTTGCCTTGCACGCGGCCCACCTGGGTTTGATTCCCAGGGTCCTATATGGTCCCCTGTGTACCACAAGGCATGGTCCCTGAGTACAGAGCCTGGGCATCACCAGGTGTGGTCCCAAAACAAAACAAAACAAAACAAATTATAGAAAGCTGCTGTGATGTGGGTTATCACACACAAGTACATTTATTCACACATACTGTTGTGAGGCCAAGAAAGAATCTCATAGGGGCTGGAGCATTTGCCTTGCATGCGGTTGACCCGGGTTCGATTCCCAGCATTCCATATGGTCCCCTGATCACTGTCAGGAGTAATTCCTGAGTGCAAAGCCAGGAGTAACCTCTGTGCATAGCCAGGTGTGACCCCCCCAAAAAAAAACAAAGAAAGAACTTCATCTGCATCATGAGAGGCTGCACTTCAGCAAAACAAGTGGTAGGCCTAAGTTTCTGTTCCCCCCCAAAAAACATTCCTTGAAATTGTCCTTGTCCTTGGCCAAAGCTGGAAATCCCCTAGAGCCCATAACCAGTCCCATGATAAATAGGATATCTCTGGGCACAGCAGGTGGGCATGACCGATTAGCTCACAGACTTGTGAATGCTTCGTCGCAATTCTTGGGAAAACCGCCAACTGTAACCAACAACTTTGCCAACTTTGCTTACGTAACCATCCGCGATAGAATGGTCCCTGGATCTATGGTCGGGGTCCTTGTCAAGACTCCGCTGCATTGGATGAGGCTTGGACCCTAGCTCGAGCTAGCAATACAGGTTCTTTTGCTTTCGCATTTGTGGAACTGATCTCTCTGCAAACGGGAACCCCAGAGCCAGGTATAACAGAGTCACAGAGATACACGGGGAAGCACTTTCCCACACCCCAACAACGGAACCACTGAGATTCAGGACTAAAAACTCAGGATGCCAGTCATACTCGCATCGAAAGAAAGACATTGTTTGGGCTAAATCTGAGAAAGCGCGTGTTACAGCAGGAGACAATGGTGGAACTGGGACGAGGGCCTCCAGCTCAGCAATGAGGTGGGGGGTCTGCGGCCCGGAGTCGCTGTGGGCACAGGCACCCTCGGCCGGTCTGCCCCCGTCACAGGCACCAGTGATGAGGCAGCCTGGCCCGAGGGCCACAGGAGGGTCCACTCCACAGCCAGCTCATCTCTGGGCATGGAACAGGGCTGTTAGGGGCCAGAGAAGGCCACCATGGGCCGGCCAGGACGCCCGCCTCCCGCCTCAGAGACACTGAGATCGAAGGTGTAGCCACCCACCCTGAGGCAGTGCCTGGGCCTGTGGGGGCCTCAGATTCGCAACCGACTTTTAGCTTCAGTTTTACGACATGTGCACACAAACAGAACCGGCTGCAGCCCAGAGCTGCCTTTGAGAGGTGCCAAGGAGGGCGTGAGGGGAGTGGGCATGGCGCATTGCAGCGGGGAAGCACGCGTCTGCAGCTCAGCAGGTGGGGTCCCCCAGACGTGCAGGGTGGGGCTGTGGCCATGGAGGGGGCCTGGGGCTGCCACCAACCTCTTGCCGGAAACAAGAGAGGGAGGCTGGGAGGGCTCTGCAGCACCTCTACACAGTCCTAGAAACATCTCCAGCAGAAGAAGTAGAAAATGGTGGGAAGCGAGGGACCTTGGGGGCTGTTTCTGGCAGGTGAGGGGTGGGGGGTCGGGGGGTGAGACACATCAGGACTGGACCAGTTCCTGGCGCAGGGGCGGCAGTCCACCTCCTCACAGTGCAACATCGCCGCATTCCACCCCTACCTCCCCCCAGTCCTTCCGTGGAACTGCATGCCAGGCGCCCACCTACCTGCCAGGCCTTCAGGGGGACCTGCTCTGTGTCCATCCTCTTGATGAGGGCCGAGAGCTGGGCCCGGGACAGCTGACTGGCAGGCTGGCACCAGAAGCCTTGCAGGGCGGAGCTGTTGGCCCTGCATAGGGGCAGTTGGGTGAGGGGGGGTGGGGGCCCACAGCTCAAAAGAGGTGAGCGGGCAGGGTGGCCGGCCTCGTGTCACACAGGGTCTTGGTGTCCAGGCTCTCAGAGACTGAGTTCTGGGCTCCATGTCCCCCACCTCTGCATCTTGCAGGGACATGGCGAGACGCTGGGTCCTGGCCCAGCCCTGGCCCTATGATGGCTCCTGCTGGACGCGGGCAGAGAGTGGGCCCCAAGCACACATGTGTGTAGGACAGTCCCAGTTGGGGGCCTGAGACAGCAGAGAGGCCAGGACAGGAGGAGAAAACCAAGACAGGGGCCAGTGTGGAAGCTGGATGCTCAGGGCCCCCCACAGGGCTGAGTGGGATGCTGGGTGGTACCTTACCTCACCCACAGGTCGGCCTTGCTGGCATCCAGCCCTCCCTCGGAGGAGCTCTCAGCCTGGGGATCGGAGCAGTGAGCTGTGAGGGACAGCAGGAGGGCGAAGGTCGGGGCCACCAAGGCACCTGGAACAGAGCGGCAGAAGCAGTGGCCACAGCGGGCCAGCACCAGCTGGACAGGTGCTCAGGTGTGCAGTGGGGTCTGGCAAGTGAGCACGCCCAGGGCGTACACGCATGAGGGCACGCGTGGCGGGTGCATGCCCCGCGTGGTGGGCACTGCCAGGGGGCCATCCTCCGTGAGGGTCTCACCTGCTCTGGGGCCCATGCTGTGCGGACAGGGAGGCAGCTCCCGGGCAGCGGGTCCAGGAAAAGCTGTGGTGGGGACACAGAGAGATGAGGCGCGGCCCCCACCCCACCCACCGCTGGGCTCAGCGGAGGCTGCCTCAGTCTTCAGGGACAAGGCAGGCCCACAAACAAAAGGGCCAGTGGGCGGGGCCAGGCCTTTCTTATCGCAGGTCGGGGCTCCCGGGAGCAGGTTGCCAATTAACACATCTCTCCACCGTGCGTGCGTGCCCCTCGAGGTCCTTGCCTCCAGCATGGGGGCAGAGCTGGCCCACTCCTCACCCCAAGCCATAGCACCCTGCACCTCTCGCGTCCCTGAGGTGGGGCTGCCCCCAGCCCAGAGAGTACTGACCAAACAGGGGTGCTGGGGAGTATGGGTTGTCGGGGAGCCAGTCCCGGACTCAGCTCCTGTGGGCTCTAGCTGCTGCCTGCCCAGGAGGGAGATGGGAGCCACGGAGACTTGGGCTGAGCCTCCAGCCCAGGTCTAGAGCTGCACGGGGCCACCCTGCAGCTGGTCGCGCTGGGCACCCCCGCCCCCGGCCCACTCTCACCTGCACACACACGGTCTGCGTGGAAAGGCTGCTCCCACAGGGCCTGGGCGGATGCAGGGTCTCCTCCAGAGGGGCCAGAGGAACCACTGAGTGCGTCAACCCCTGCGGCTGAGCACGGGGACGCAAGGGCTGGGAGCAGTGCGGGTGCTGGGGTCCCGGCTCGCCGCCATCCTGTGCCAGCACCTGCCTGGAGGGCACCCACACCTACAATGACGCCCGCCTGGCAGACGTGCAGGGGAGGGGCCGCCGAGCCGAGACGCTGCCGTCAGTCCCTGGGGACCCCCCCTGGCACGGGCACCTGCTCCCCAGTCCCAGAAGTGGGAGGCTGAGCTCACGTGATTTGCGACCGCCCAGAGCACACACCCCCGTCCGCACTGAGGGTCCCAAGTGCCAGCACTTGCCTGGGGCTAGGAGTCAGAGACAGACAAGCGTGCATTCAAGATGCATGTCTCAGGCCTGGGCGCACATCTGCACACACGTGTGAAATATGTATCTCACTCCTGGGAGCACATCCATACACACATGCAAATATGCGTCTCAGTCCTGGGAGCACATCAGCATTCACGTGCAAACATACACATATTCTGTGTCTCAGTCCTGGCAGTACGGGGCACATACATGTAAGTGTGCATCTATGTGTAATGAGTGCACTGTGTTCATTTTGTGTATGAGTCCTGTGAGAACGTAAGTATGCATGTGTGCACACACGTGCATGTGTATTCTTGACCCAGAGAGCATGTATGTGTATGTGTGTGTATGAACACAAGTCATGGAAGCACTTACAGGTGAAAGTGTAGAACTGTGTGCACATGAATGCATGTGTTTCAGTCCTGGGAGTACACTCGTGTGCATCTGTGTGCATATGCAAGTCATGCATGTTCATCTTGGTAGCACATACACGTTCAAGCATGCACCTGTGTGCACACATACATGAGTATCCCAGTCCTGGGAGCCAGGAACACAGATGTGCTCTTATGAGATGTGTGTCCCCTGCAGGGCAGTGAAGTGGGCGACTGCAGTGAGGCTGGGGCGACTGCAGTGACGTGGGTGTGTTGGGTGTATGCTGGGGGTGTGTCTGTGCTGAATGTGTGTGTACTGTGTGTGTGCTGGGGCGGGCATGTGCTGAGGGGAGCAGCAGGACCTGTGCTAGGCTTGATACTGCACAACTGCAAGTCAGACGTCGTAGCCGTCAGTGCCTGCTGGACTGGCTGCGGCGCTGGACAAACCTCCCCATGAGGTCAGGGGTGTGCAGTAAGGTACCCACAGAAGGCTGGCTGGGTTTGAGGACAGGGTGGGGTACTCTGGAGTCCCCCAAGGCAGATGAACAACCCCTGAGATCACACAGGGGCAAGTGTCCACCTAGCAGCCCCCAGCAAGCTGTTACAGGCACGGCTCTGAAGGGCTTGTGCCCACCGGGCAGGTACTCAATCGAGGGCCATCCTGGGACCTACCCGAGTCCTGGCTAAGGGCTTGTGGTGGCTCTTTGTGGGAGACCGCCACAGGGTAGAGGGGTCCCCACACCACCAGCTGGGGGTGCAAGAGCCACGGGAGGAGGCTGCTCCCTGGGAGATTTGGGACGGCTCTCCCTGAGCCGCCATGCTCTGGGAAGCACCTGGGTGTGTCCAGGGAGAAAGACACAGCACTGGCCACTCAATGGGTGTGCAAGAGGGTGGACAGCGACCCCATGTGGCCACAGCGGGCACGTGCACTGCCCGGATGGGAGAAAGTCACTGGGCAGCTTCCTACAGCCAGGCGGACAGATGGGGACCTGACCAAGCAGAGCAGGGCCTTCCCCAGGGGCTCCTGAGATCCATGGGAGGTGTGGGCTGGCCAGGCCTGGGAAGTGTTCCCGTCTACCACTGAGTGGCTTGGGGGGAGGGTGGGTCCCAAAACACACTGATGGTACTCCACGGCTGTCACGAGTCTTTATTCCACATCTGGAGCCCAGAGAGGGTACCACCTGGGAGCAGGGATCCAGCTGGCACACCTCACAGCCGGCGGTCTGAAGGAAGGAGGCGGTCTCCGCATCTGCGGGCAGAGGACCACCTGGAGAAGCCACGTGTGAGCGCCAGAGCCCCAAGCTGAGCCAGAACAGGTGGGGTCCCAGCTTGCCTCCCCCAAGGTGACCTGGACAGCTCCAGGACTGGTTTCCCAGAGAGAGGCGGGCCGGGAAGCCCACAGCCGGCCGCCGGGCTCCCTCTGCTGGCCGGCCCGCCCCTCTGCAGTCACCGGGCCTCACTCTAAGGCTGATGAGTGGGTCCCGCCTGGGGTGGGTTCCGGGCAGTGATTCGCAGCTTCCCACACAACCCTGGCACACACTCAGTTGTCCGGCTCCAGTGTCCACTCAGCAAGCCACTGCAGGCGCGACGCTCGCTGCTCTTCGGTCTCCGGGGCCCTGGCAGGGGGTGGTGAGGGCTGGCCTGGCCGGGTGCCCTCGTCTGTGGGCTCGGGGTCAGGGGCAGCCCGCAGGGCCTCGACCAGCGAGTCCAGCGACTGCACGAGCGTGTGGGGGTGCCAGCAGGAATCGAGGGCGGGCAGGAAGGGGTCAGGCGTGCAGGCCTCCACGCGCTCGGTGGGCGTGGGGATGCGCAGGTAGAAGGCGTGCAGCATCATGCGGAAAGGACGCTCCTCGTGGCCTGCTGGCTGCCCATAGGTCAGGTCGCCCACGATGGGGTGGCCCAGAGCACTGCAGTGCACCCGCAGCTGGTGTGTTCGGCCTGAGAGGAAGGGCGTGGTCAGGCAGCCGGCCCCTGGGTCCTGCTGCAGGCCAGGCTGCAGCTGCCCAGCCCAGGGACTACTTGTTTCCACCACACCAACTGACTGGGGAACTTTGGTCAGCAAGAACCTGTGAGGTAGGCAACCCTGGGCAGTGAGGAGTGAGGCTTGGATGCTGCCAATGTACCTCGGTTTCCCTTCCTGCATAACTGGGACTCGGACCTGGGCTAGGAGGCACCGAGCAGGGTGCTGGCCTGGAGCTGTCACAGCTCTGTCCCCACTCACCTGTGAGGGGCTGCAGCAGCACCTTGGAAACTGGGTCACCTGCATACAGCCCGTGCTCCAAGACTACCAGCTCTGTGAGGCTGGGTTTCGGGTTTTCGCAGCCTGAGGTAAAGGAGGTGGACACTGTGTCCTGCGGACTGACGAGTGGGGGGGCAGCATTCTCCCCAACTCGCTCTGAGCCTGGGTGCACCCAGGCATCCTGCAGGCCAGCCCGAGGCCCCGCCCACGCCCCACCCACTACGGGGCCAGGCCCCCCCCCCCCAAGCTCTTTCCTCGGGTGGGGTCTTGGGCCACAGCTCGCGGTGCCCAGGGGTTACTCTGGGCAGGTTCGGGAGACCACTGGGTGCCAGTGTGGGCCCGCGCCTGGCACTGTGGCTACGCACCCTCGGTGCCCTCGATGCACATGGTATGCGCCCGGCCCTCGGTGCTGCTCCTGCCGATGGCACAGCTGATGGTCACCTGGCTGTCCCGGATGTGTCCCCGCACCTACGGGGAAGGGGACACGAGGTCCTGCCGGGCCCCTCGGTGGGGAACCCTGCCCAGGAGGCCCGGCTTACCAGAGCCAGGTAGGCCTTGGTGACTCGCCGCTCCTTGAAGCACCGGTACGCGCTGGCCGCGGCCGCCTTGTTGAGGGCCACGCAGAGCGCGCCGCTGGTGGAGAAGTCCAGCTGGTGGCAGAACCTGGCGAGGGCAGAAGGTGAGAGGCGGCGGGCGGGCAGCGCCCGGCCCCCCACGGGCCCCCGCGCACCGGAACCCGTAGAAGGTGTCCGGGTCGGCCAGCTCGGGGAAGCGGTGCCGCAGCTGCTTCTGCACGGTCAGGGTGTCGCGCCACGCCCGGCTGTCGATGCGCACGTCCCAGTGCTTGCTGACCACCAGGAAGTCGCGGCTGCGGTACACCACAGCCAGGTTCTCCACGCTGCCCGGCTCCATGGCGGGGGGGAAGCGCGGACCCTGCCGCACCGCCCGCCTGCCCGCCGGAAGCCCCCGGCCGCCTCGCCCCCGCGCCCCCCGCCTAGCGTCCCCGCGTCCCGGACTCGCCGCTGGGCCCGAGCCGCGCCGCTGGGCCCCGCCCTCGCCGCGGACGGGCGGGACCGCCGGCCAATGGCAGCCCTCCGCGGAGGCCCCGCCCCCCTCGCGCCGCGCAGGCCAATGGCCGGGCACGCCGGGCACGCGGGGCGCCGCCTGGCGCGGGGCGCGGGGCGGGGCGGCGGCGGCGCGGGAGCTTCGGAGCGCGCGGCCATGGAAGTGTCCGCGGACTGGCCGGCGCTGCCCGGCGCCGAGGACGACTTCCACAGCCGGTTCGCGGCCGAGCTCGAGGTGCTGGCCGAGCTCGAAGGTACGCGGCGGGGCGGGCGGGCGCGAGCGCGGCGCCGCGGGGTGCCGAGGCCCGTCTCCCGCAGGGTCGGCGGCCCCCGCGCCCGCCCGGCAGCCGCGACCCCAGAGGAAGCCTTCGCCGCAGACCGCGTCGCCGGGAAGCGGCCCCGTTCGCCGGGCGCGCGGCGGGAGAGCCCCCTGCCCCGCGGTGCGTCCGCGGTGGGCCCGGCGGGGCGGGGCGGGCAGCCCGGACGGGCCCCTTCCTCTCCTGTGTCTCCGTAGCACCGCAGGCCAAGAGGCCGAGGCTCGAGGTGGTCAAGAGACTGGACTTCCAGGACAGTTTGGAGACGGAGGACCTGAGCCCGGACATCACCCCGCCCCCGAGTCCCAGAGCCCTTGCCCAGCAGGGCCGCGACGGGTGCGTGCCTAGGCCCAGGGGTGTCCGGGCCTGGGGCTGGGACTGGTTCCTGGACTGCCGAGAGTCGCAGGAGCGGGGTCCTGAGGCTGCCTGCTTGGTTTGCAGGCTCCAGGGTGCCCGCAACCCTGTACTGAGAAGACCCCCAGTCCTGGAGGACTACATCAGCGTGACGTCCACTGCTGGCCACCGGGCCTTCCTGCTGCTACGGCCAGACCCCATGGGCATGGGCACTCAGGTGGGAGCTGCCAGCCACCCACGGGAGGGGCTTGGCACTGCCCAGCAAGGGGCCTAGTTGAAGTCTCTTTTTTTCTCGTCCACCTGGGAGTTGTCCCATCCCAGTGTGTCCCCCCACCACCAGCCCCCGTTACCCAGGGTCCTTCTCCACCTCTGCCTGCTAATGCAGGGCACCCCACACCCTCGAGCGGTCCGGAGGTGACTGTCACCTCTCCCCACAGGGACCTCGCCTGGATGTCCCGTGGCGTGGCTCTGGCCAACTGGGCCTTTTGGGGGTGGCCTTTGCCTCCCTGAAGGAGCAGGTGGACAAAGAGGTATCAGGGAGGGAGCTGGGGAGGGAGGGCGTGTGGGGGAGGGGACTGCAGGGCGGGACAGCAGGGTGTGTTCGGCCATGGCTTTTGCCTGGCCTGACCGCGTGTGCTCTTTCCATAGCGGCAACAGAAGCTGCTGGCAGAGGCTTCGCAGCTTTCAGACACATTGGGCAGGTGAGGCATGAGCTGTCCACCCATCCTCATCCTGGTTTCTGCACCAGCCCCATAGGGCTGAGCGTTGTGGTTGGGGGCGGGAGGCGGGGAGAGAGGTTCTCTGAGGCTCAAGGTGAGATGCCTTCAGCCTTAGGGCAGAGCTGGAGGAGGAAGCTCCAGAGGAGGAACCTGCAGATCCTGGGGACACAGAGCAGCACTGCCTGTGGGTGGACGCATTCGCCCCCAAGCGCTACACAGAACTGCTCAGTGATGATGTGAGGCCCCGCCCCTCTGACTTCCTAGGTGGGGGGAGCTCTTGGTCTGCGGGCAGTGGGGTAGGAGGGCGAGAGGACCTGGCCCTGTTAAACGTGGCCTCGTGTCCTTAGGGGCCAGGCCAGGTGATGGCGGCCCACCCACCCCACCCCACCCACCCCCAGCCTCCAGGGCAGCTTGGCCTGGGTGGTGGGTGCCGGGAATCGGTGCCCCCTCAGCGGCCCCCTCTTGCAGTTTACCAACCGCTGCCTCCTCAAGTGGCTGAAGCTGTGGGACCCGGTGGTCTTTGGCCGAGACAGGCCTGCCCGGAAACCCAGGCCCACTGGGGAGCCTGCCCGGGCCAGCAAGGAGGCCCCAGGTGCCACAGGCAGGTGGAAGAGCCATGATCAGGCCCTGGAGGAGATGCTGGAGGCTGAGCTGGAGCCAAGTGGTCGGCCGCGGCAGAAGGTATGCCCCACTGGGTGGTGCGGGGCCCAGGACTTGCCCCTACCCTTCCCCTCATGGCCCCTGGGCCAGTTCTTTTCTGGGGACTGCTGGTGCTTGTCCTGTGGTAGCCTTCTGCCTTGGTTGTAGGTGGCACTGCTGTGCGGACCCCCTGGGCTGGGCAAGACCACCTTGGCACATGTGATCGCTCGGCACGCAGGGTACTGCGTGGTGGAGATGAACGCCAGGTGAGCATGCAGTCAGCAGGGAGCCCGGCAATTTGGGGACTGACCGGCGCTCCTCACACCCCTGCCGACCCTATGGCACAGTGACGACCGAAGCCCTGAGGCCTTCCGCACACGCATCGAGGCAGCTACACAGATGGAGTCGGTGCTGGGCAGCGGCGGAAAACCCAACTGTCTGCTTATTGATGAGATCGACGGCGCCCCCACGGTGGGCCAGGGGATGGGTCGTGCAGGGACTCCCGCTGTGGGGGCTGTGGGGTCTCACTGCCTCCACACGACCCACAGGCCGCCATCCTAGTTCTCCTGGGTGTGCTGGACCGCAAGGGCCCACCAGAGGCGGAGCCTGGGGCCGCAGCCGGGACTGCAGGAGCAGGGCGGCGTCGCAGGGCAGAGGGCGGGCTCCTGATGAGGCCCATCATCTGCATTTGCAATGACCAGTGAGTGGGCCAGAGCGGGAGGCCGGGTTGGGGGCAGGGGTGTGGGAGGGCTTCAGCGGTTTCATGTCCTGCTTGCAGGTTTGCACCCTCCCTGCGGCCACTGAGGCAGCAGGCCTTCCTGCTCCAGTTCCCACCTACGCTGCCCTCCCGGCTGGTGCAGCGACTCCAGGAGGTTAGTGGGGGCCCCCATGGGCGGGCTGGGGCACCACTTCTGCCTGGCCCCATCTGCTCCGGTGAGCCTCCCCCAGTCAACCAAGGGTGTGGGGCCTGACCGCCAGTTTAGCCACTGGTCCTGCTGGCCTGGGGCAGGTGCCGAGGTCAGTCCCCTGGAACAGGGTGGCAGCCCCTGTACCCAGGTCTGGGAGAGCTGAGTGGGCTCTCGGGGGTTGCCCTCCTGCAGATAGCCTTGCGACAGGGCATGCTGGCTGACCCTGGTGCCCTGGCTGCCCTCTGCGAGAAGACGGACAATGACATTCGTGCCTGCATCAACACACTGCAGGTGGACTGGGTGGGGCGGGGGGTGGGGCTTGAGAGCAGGGGTTGTTGCCACTTAGGGGAGTGGAGTGGGATGTGAGGGGACTGGGAGAGCGGGTGTTGGGGGTGGGGAGCTGGATGAGGGTGCAGTAGGGTGTGGGCTGGCGGGGCCAGCTGTCTCACACCCCACCCTGGTTCCAGTTTCTGCACGGGCGAGGCCAGCGGGCACTCAGTGTGCGGGCAGTGCAGGCCACACAGGTGGGCCTCAAGGACCAGCGCCGGGGGCTCTTCTCTGTGTGGCAGGAGGTCTTCCAGCTGCCACGGGCACAGAGGTAGGTGGGTGTTGCCTGCCCCTTCAGAGCTCAGCTTACCCCCGGCAGGTCACTTGGGACCCACTGCAGCTGTAACCCTCCCCACAGGCGTCCCGTGGGCCAGGACTTGGCCTTGCCCATTCACACGCCATGCGGGGACCCCCATGGGGCCCAGCCACTCACAACTGTGGCCGAGCAGCGGTTCCACCACGTCCTGCGTTTGGCTGCCAGTGCAGGCGAGCACGACAAGGTGGTCCAGGTACCACTGTCCCTGGGGCAGGTTGGGTGCCAGGAGGTGATGGTTTTGCCTTTGGGGCAGTTCTGAGCTGGAGACAGGCTTGGAGGGCCGGGAGGAGACCTGTGCTGTGGGGCAGGGCCCGGGTGAGAGGCTGTGTCCCTGCCCGCCTGCCCGCTGATCTCCCTTCCTAGGCCGATTAGGGTGTAGGTGGGCAGCTGGGAGTCTCCAAATCCAGGTCATGGATGGCTGGGAGTTTTGGAGAAAGGAGCTCCTGGCCGCAGGTGTGAGGGCCGGGGCGTAACTCTGGGTAGCAGGGGTGAAGCTGGAGCAGGACTCCCTGGCCAACGGGTGGGCGTGGCTGTAGGGCTCGGCACGTCCTTCCAGGGCTGCCTTTTGTTTGTTTGGGGCCATCGGGGTGATGTTTAGGGGTGACTCCTGGCTCTGCAGTCACACTTGGGGGGTAACGGGGGACCATATGGGGTGCCGGGGATGTCAATCAAGTCGGTCACATGCAGGCCAAGCGCCCTCCCTGTGTAATACCACTCCGGTCCCCAGGGTCTTTTTGACAATTTCCTGCGCATGCGGCTCCGGGGCCCTGGCCTGGGTACAGTGTGTGCTGCCCTGGACTGGCTGGCCTTCGATGACCTGCTGCAGCGAGCAGCACTGCACGGCCAGAGCTTCCAGCTGCTGCGCTACCCCCCCTTCCTGCCCGTCGCTTTCCACGTGCTCTTCGCCTCCAGCCACGCGCCCAGGATCACCTTCCCCAGTAGCCAGCAGGAGGTGCGTGCGCAGCCCAGGCTCTGCGGTCACCCTGTCGGGCTCTGGCCTCCCACTCATGGCCACCTCACCCTTTACCCAGGCCCAGAGCCGGACAGCCCGGACACAGAACCTGATCCAGACGCTGGTATCGGGCATCGTGCCAAGTACCCGCAGCTGGGCCATGCCACAGACCCTGGTGCTGGACACACTCTGTCTGCTCTTAGACATACTGGCGCCTAGACTGCGTCCTGTGAGTGGCGGCTAGGGGTGGGGTTGCTCCCAACAGGGCTGCCATGGTGCTCAGCCACCCGCTGTGCCACAGGTAAGCACGCAGCTGTTTAGCACACGTGAGAAGGAGCAGCTGGCCAGCCTTGTGGGCACCATGCTGGCCTATAGCCTCACCTACCGCCAGGAACGCACACCCGAGGGGCAGTATGTGTACCGGCTGGAGCCGTGAGTCTGCATGGGGCACTGGCTGCCCGGATCCGAGAGCCCTGCAGCTTCCGCCTCAGTGCCCCGGGGGCCCGCTCCCCTGAGTGCCTGCACTGCCTGGGGTGCCTCTGTTCCTGGGTGGGATCAGGGAGAGGGGCGTGGTGACCAAGGGCTGCTCTGGGCTCACTGTGCTGTCTCACTGGTATAGGAACGTGGAGGAGGTCTGCCGCTTCCCGGAGCTGCCTGTTCGCAAGCCACTCACCTATCAGGCCAAGCAGCTCATCGCCCGCGAGGTTGAGGTGGAAAAGATGCGGCGGGCAGAGGCCCGGGCCAGGGCCAGCGTCCAGGTCAGCCCCTGGCCACGTTCCCCAGAGCAGGCCTGTCCCTGCTCTGGCTCCGCCCCTCAGTCCTCATGGCCCTCCCGCCCTGCAGGTGAGCGGGGGTGTCCCAGGAGCAGAGAACGTGCTGGACAGCGCGAGGGAAAAAGGGGTGCCGTCCCCTGTTGGCCTCAGCCGCGAGCCTCGTTTGGAACAGCGGCTGGAATGCATCCTGCAGAGAGCAGCCCTGGAGGAGCAGGTGTGGGGGCCCGTGGAGTGAGGGGGCTGGGCTGGCGGGGGCAGGGCTGTCCCCTCTGCCCTGACCCACCTTGTACCCTGTAGCCCGAGAGGGACTTCTTCGGTCGTGTCATCATCAAGAGAACTGCCCCCCTGCGCGCAGGTGTGTGTGGGCAGTGGGGGGTGGAGAGGCAAGGACAGAGCAGCCACTGACCGTGTGTCCCCCACAGAGGACTCGGCCCCTGAGACAGAGTCAGCAGAGCAACGCATGGGCACAGCTGTGGGCCGTAGTGACGTCTGGTTCCGCTTCAAGGAGGGGGTGTCCAACGCTGTGCGACGCAGCCTGTATATCAGGGACCTGCTGTAGCCCGGACCCAGGGCAGACACGCAGGGCCAGCCTGCACCCCAGTTACCACGGACACCTACTCGGGGCCCAGACCTGCACCCCGGGTCTGTGGCGGACACTCGGGCCAGTCTGCACCCCAGGTCTGGCGGACACTCAGGTCCAGGCTGGGAGTCTGGAGCTCCAGTTGGCCCCAGCATTACTGTCTGCTAGAAAAACACACAGAGCCGCTGCCTTTTAGAGTCTTTATAAAGCACCCGGCAGGAAGTGCCTCCAGCCGGCTGGGCTTCACAGGATCGAGCACTTGCCCTTCTCCACCCATGGGTTGTTCTTCATCAGGTCGGGGTTCAGGAAGGGGTCCTTGGGGATCCCGTCCTCGATCCACTTGAGGAGCCTGTGAGGGAGGGGGGGTGAGCAGGGGCTGCGGGCCTGGCCCCACGGGGTGGGCTGGGGACACTCACTCCGGGATGGATTTTGATGACATCTCCCTCTTGAAGGCGAGCTGGTACTTGAGACTCTCCACCTCCTTCTGCATGCGGGCTTCGTCCCACTCTTCCGTGGGGTCCGCTGCCTCCGGGGCCGCCAGCTTGGGGCGCAGATGGGGGTTGTGAGGGGGGACGTGAGCACTGGGAGGTCCCTGGGGCCAATGGGTCTAGGGAGGAGCACGGGTGCAGGGCCACGCTGAGGGCCCACTAATGAGACCTACGTTGGACTCTTCCCCCCTGGGCCCAATTAAGTGCAGAGGAAACTTTCCATCCAGACTAGCTGGAGCGGGGAGCGGGGGTACCCTGGCTCATCCTGCCTGCCTGGGAGCATTCTGGAGGGGGGGCCGCAGAGCCCCCTCTGCTCTGCTTTGCATGGGCCCAGCCCTGCAGACCAAGAATTTGGCTGCTATTTGCATCTCTTGCTCCAGGCTGTGCAGGGTCCGGGTGGGTAGCTGCAGCCACCTGCTGCCCGGTGCCTGCCCTGTCCCTGCACAGGCTTAGCTGCAGGTGGTCGGTAAGGCCAGACCGGCAGTATGACTTGGCTACATCTGGGGCGCTGGGCCCTGGGTGGAGGTGGGGTCTCTGTCCTGCACCAGGCTGCCAGATGCTGGGGGTGCTGGGTGGGCCTGCCCGGTACAGGGAGCTTGCCCGGGCAGCTCTGCCCTCAGCTGAACAGCAGCTCCCCTCCTGGGGCTGCCCCCCAGTCCTGTGGCTGTGTCCTCAAATCCCAAATCGTCAGGTGCTGGGTGCTGAGACAATTCCCCCAGCAGCACCTGCGGGTCAGCTGGCCCGTGGGACACGGTGGACCCAGGTGCTCCCACAGCATCTGGTGCAGGAGTTTCTGGGCCACGGGGCTCTGAGCAATAGGACCTACCTTGGATGTCGCTGAGGAGAGCAAAGAGGTACCGAGGACCAAGTGATGGCGAAGTGTAGTACAGTGAAGGGCTGGCTGCTGCCAGGCGGGGGAGTGGGTGGAGCCCTGCAGCCGCCACTGTCGCCCCGCCCTGCCCTGCCCTGCCCCGCCTCCACTGGTCCCCAGCTCTGCCGGGCAGCCCTGGACACATTCCTTGCAGACAGCCGCAGCTCCTTCCACTGGGTGAGGGATGCTCAGAGCCCTGGCCTGTGGGCTGTGTGAAACTTAAGCTTGGCCACCCCTGTTTGCCACCTGCCCCCCTCTCGAGGGCCTCAGCTGCCTAATTCTGTCACTGGCACCCCCAGTTGACGTGGCTGGTCTTGTTCCACAGGTCCCAACGCTGTGGTGACCTAGTTCAGGGGCCATGTCCACCTCAGGACATCGTCCCTCTGACTCCCCATAGCACACCCCTTATGTGCTGGGGTGTACCCAGTGGAGCCTGCCACACCCCGAGGGAGCTGCACCCCAGGGCCCATCCTCCATGCTGGCTGCAGAATGGGGTCGCCTGCAAGCTGTTGTGCCAGGGCTCAGGAGGCTGAGAAGTGGGTCACATCAGGGAAACAGGATTATTTTAGACTGGATTTTCAGGGTGGGGGTGCTAAGCGCCCTCCAGGGGCAGATGGCAGCTATGTCCCATGCACCCCACCCCCCACAGCCCAGATACAACACTAGGTCTGCGAGGGGCTGGAGTGGCAGTACAGCAAGTGAGCCACTCACTTGCTTTGCACGTGGCTGACCTGGCTCCAACCCCCAGCACCACATACGGTTTCCTGAGCACCACCAGGACTGGCAGACAACCAAAATGAACCCCCAGGGATGGGCTCAGTCTGGGCCCACGGCCCACACCCCCTGTGTGCTCAAGGCAGTTCTGACTTGTGTGCAGAGGGGAGGGGGGTGTCCATTTCCATGACTCCATTTCCAAGTTTCAGCTCCTCGGGCTGCCCTGAACCCTGGTACCTGTGTAGCCCTGAGCAGCCCAGCTGACATCTGCTCACACAGCCCAGGAACCTATTATTGGAAGGGGACCCAAGGCTCTTTTCTCTTTGGTGTTGGGTTCCAGAACCCCAAATGCTTCTTGTGCAGGAGTCTCTCGGGACCCAGTTGCACAGCATGGGTGCCTGCCCCAGGGTGTCTTCACTGGGGTCACCCCAGATCCAAGGGTCTCCAGGGACTCTGGGTAGGTACCAGGTTGGGTTGGGAGGCTGACCTGTTAGAGTCTCTGGGGAGCGAAGAACCCCCCCCCCCGAGGGCACCCCTCCAGGCAGGGCCAATATGGAGGGTGGAAAAATAAATGAAAAATCCCTTTGAGAGCACACACAAATATCAGCATTTTCACAGATTGTCGAAGGTGACTGAGAACGTGGAGACATTTTGTGTCTGTGCACAGGTGGAATCTGGGGACTGGGTGCCCCAAATTAGGGGCAGGCACACAGTTCACCTGTGTCCCTCCGGAATCACATGTTCTCCATGACAGCCAGGCTCTGGCTCAGCTTCAGGTGCTTGGCCACCCCCAGATGTGGGCTCTTGAAGGCTTGTGAGAAGGTGGGCATAAGCAGTGGGCGTGGACCTGCCTGAGCCCCTGCAGGGGACTGCTCCGCACATGGGCAGGCTCTTTGAGTTGATGCAAGTCCAGTGACTTTGCCCAGGGACACCTGAGGGACCAAGACAGGCATCAGCGGCCAGTCATATGTACAGTACATGACTATGCACGATGCTCACATGTGCCCACATATGAATCATGCACACCTGTGCACACAATGCCAGTACAGTGTCTGTACATGTGTGCACATGACTGCATGCACACATGTATACACTGCACCTGTACGGACTGCACATTCACATCCTTCCTGCAATGCGCACAGGCCAGATGAAGGACCAGGGGTGTTTGTATGGTATATTCAGAGCAGTGGGCCCTGGAGGGTGTGGATGTGTGGGAAGAGCAGCAGATCACTCTGAAGAATAAGGCCTCGAGGCACAGTGACAGGCTGAGTTGTGGGGCAGCTCTGGTCTGTGGCACCGCACACTGTGTGCAGCCTAGGAGCTGCAGCCTCTGCTGAGGGCACTCAGGGTCTGGCAGAGGAGATGAGGCCCCATAAATCTGTCCCAGAAGAGGATCCCGGTGAAGAGCCTGCAGACAGGTGGGGCGCTGGCTGCCGTGTCCCACAGGCATGAGGGACAAAGGTGGCAGATAGGACGCAGCAGCACAGGCCCCGGGAGCCCTCAGCCTCCCTGTTCCGCCAGGAGCCTCCTGAACCCCTGAAGGTGCCACCATATTCTGGGAGACCCTGGGCCTCACCCATCCAGTAGCACAGGCACTGCCAGCGTCAAAGACTCAAGACTCCCACGGTTCAGGCAGCCTGGGGTTGGGGCGACCATCCCGTGAGCCGCCCGCGCGGGACACCGTCCGAGAGGGCAAGACAGGCCTTGTGGACGGGTCCTTGTGCCCGTGAGCGCGGGGACACACGCAGCAACGTGACCGCGGACGCCGTGGGGACAACCTGGCAGGCTGCTTCAGGGGCGCCTGCGGGGTGGAGGTGCGCCTTGCGGGGACCCACCCGCACCACAGGCCCCGGCACCACTGGTGTAGCCCCCACCCCAGTCTGGCAGCTTTATTTCCTTTTACATCCTTTGATTTGGGGGCCACGTGACAGCCCTGGCGGGCTCGGGGGACCGTAGGGGCTGCCAGCACTGAATCCAGGGCAGCCACAGGTATTCCGCAGATTCCACAGTGGACCCAGAGGGTCCCTAAGCCCCCTCCCCAGGCCTGCGTGAGTCTCGGGGGCCACGATGCCCGGAATACGGGCGCCTTCGCCGAGGGGCGACAGGAGCGGCCGTGGGTGGGGGCAAGGCGGCGCCGCGCCTCGCGATCCCCCGCAGCGCGAGCCGTGGGCGAGACGCCTTAGCCCTTCGCGCCGCCGCCTTCCGGCCGGGCCCCACCGTGCACGGGCTTCCCTTTGGGCGACACTTCCGGGCTGGGCCGGAAGGGGCGGGACGTGGCGTGAGAGAGCCGCAGGCGTCCGAGCGCGCGCGACTTTGGCGGCGACTGGCGTGGGCGCGGGTGGCTGAGGGGCGGGAGCTCCGCCGGCCCCAAGACTCCTCCCGGGGGCCCGCCCAGCGCCCCCAGCGCCGCCGCGGCCCCGGCCCGGGTACGGGGCACCGCGGCGGGAGACGGGCCTGCTGGCGAGGGGGCGTCGGGCGTGGTGCCGCTCATGCCCCTCCTGGCTGTCCGCGTGTCCAGGCCAGCCTCGAGAGTGACCACAGGCCAGCTGGGCCGCCTGTCACTCGCGCCCAGCCCTGGGGTTTTTGTTTTTCTTTTGTTTTGAGGGGGGCCCCACCCGGCGATGCCCTGGAGTTGCTCTGGCGGCGCTCGGGGACCCTACGGGCCGGGCCAGGCAAACGCCCTCCCCGCTGTCTCCGGCCCGACAGTGTGTTCTGGTTTCCGTTTCTGCAGCAGGAACGACCAGTCCTCCCCAGAAATGGAACGTCTGCGTTTACTCGCGAGACAAGCAAACCGGGACGAGAGGCGCAGCACAGGGCCTGCCTCAGCCCCTCCGCTCCAGGGCCGCGGCCAGGGCCAAGGGAGTCTACTCAGGCTTCTCTGGGCAGACATTCTGTCTCTTTCCAGAT